CCATAAAGTAATCAAAATTAATGATGTATCACTCACAGCTCCAGTTGATACTGAAAGTGAAGCTATAATTATCTGTATGGATATTTATAAACAAACAGGAAATCCTTCCTTAAGAGTATTTCATAATATGTTGACTGCCTTTGGTAATGACAAAATTGAACTAATAGGTTATTTTACAAGTGACATTTTAATAGGTGTGGAATTATTAATGATTAACATTTATGTTGCAATATAATGCCATTTAACACAATTATTGGCATGGATGTTCTTAAATAAGGTAAAGTTAATATAAACAAAGATTGTGTTCATATTTTTAAACATATTAAATGAACTGATCTGGAAGATGTGTACATCAATAATATTTCCCTTAATCAAACATCTGAAACAGAAAAAGGTCCTACTGCTACAACAAGTTATGGTTATTATTATCAAAGATCTTTTCCCCGATTACAAACCTCACAAAATCAAAACTGCAAACATTCAGATGACTATTCAAGGGAAAGATAAAAAATATATGCTATGCTAGCCAAGTCACAGTAGTAAATAAGAAAGATTCATAGACTATCGCAAATTAAATAATAAGATAGTTAAAGATTGGTATCCTTTACTATTAATAGAAGATTTACTGGATAAACTATAATTTGCTTGTATGTTCATAACAATCGATTTAAAAAAATGCTTTCTTACATGCTAATGTCAATATAAACAGCCAACATTACACTTCGCTTGTCACACACAATCGACAATATCAGTTTTTACATGTACCTTTCAGTCTCTGTACCTCGTCTTCTGTATTTCAAAGATTTGTGAATTCTGCTTTCAAGGAATTCACAAGGTCATGTTTTACTCTACTTAGATGATATCATAATTCCCACTAAATGAAGATGAAAGTATTAAGTGTTTGCGGTCTGTTTTCTCAGTTGCTTCTGATTATGAACTCGAAATTAATTAAAAAAAATCTAAATTTTTAAGTTGCAGAATTGAATTTCTTGGTCATGTCGTCGAAAATGGTAAACTGTTCCCATAACCTCATAAAACAGTTGCTGTTATTAATTATCCTGAACTTGAAAGTCACAAAGACTTGAAAAGTTTTCTTGGTCTTGCCAGATATTTTCATAAAATTATTCTAAATTTTTCCAGAAATGTTTAACAATTAACTGACCTCATTAAGAAAGGTAATGATTTCTACTCTGGTGACAGTAAAAGAAAAGCTTTTGATCTTTTGAAACAACGTTTATGGGAGAAACATGTACTCATTTATAATCAGTGCAGCAATAATGAAATGCACACTGATGCCAACTCTTTGGTTAATAGTTGTATTCTCACGCAAAGAACCATGACTGATAATTGACTACATATTGTTTATTACATAAGCAAAAAGACATCTGATGCCAAAAAAAAAATTTACTAGTTAGGAACTTGAAGTATTAGTTCTAATTCAAGTTTTGAAAAAAATTAGACTGTTTCTTTTGGGCAAACAATTTAAAATTCTTACTGACTACATTGTCTTCAAAATGACAATGAATATGCAAGAATTATATACAGTCAAAAGTCTCTAATTCGGACTCGTCGGGACTAGGGCGATTCCGGATTATAGATCATCAGTTTAAATCTGGTAAGATCGCATGCAGAAATTATAAAATAAAAAATATAAAACTGTAATTTATGAAATAAAGAGCAATTATGATCTAAAGGGTATCAAAACTTGGAAAAAAAAAAAAGCTTAATATTTATTTGTTTACTTTATTAAAACATTTCTTTCAACGTGTGCATGCGTAAAGCATACATTACGCATAGTCGAAATTAGAAAATTGCAACCAGAAAACTATTTGATGTGTATTCATGATATTTATTATGACGAGGAATTTGATTTAAATCATATCAAAGACGGAGTACATCGAGATGAAATACTACATTTAGTAAGGAATTATGAGCCAAATAAAATAAAAACATCTGACCTGAAAATAAGGCTAGTGCTGACAGATCAACTTCCAGTTCATTGCACGCCACGTCGTTCCCCTTTCCCCCCGCGCAGAGCAGCATGAAATTGAGAAACATATTTTGGAATTTTCGAGAATCAAAGGATATGCCTTTATCCATTTTTTGCAGCAGTTACACTTTTTGTTTAATGGACATCGAAACATGCTTTCGCTTTGCAGATCCAGCATCGGAAATTCTATTTGACATAATCCAAAGTTCAAGCTTACTTTTATAAAATTGCTCTAACAGACTGGTCTGCAAAAAATAATAAGCCGAATCCAATTCGAAGATTAAGGAACAACGCAATCTGCAGCATTAACTGAAATAGATAATTAGATAATTTTAGGTTAGCTTATACCGTCCTTTATACATTAAATGCGCATGCGTAAACATATTATGCGCATGCGCACATGCATATGGTCTTGCGTAAACTCCTATACGCATGCGTGAACACATTATGCATTGACGCATGTGCAGAAAGTTTGTAGCTTTGAGGTCCGGATTATAGATCATTCTGGATTATGGGTGTCCGGATTAACGACTTTTGACTATTCATGAATAACATGTTGGGCATTGATGTTAGACGATTTCAACTACGAAATAGAACAAGAATGGGAACATGAATGACACATAGTGAGTGAATGGACTGAGCAGATTTCTTGTTATAGTCATCACTCAAGACAGCCTCATTTTGAAAATAGAAAATGCTCAAAGTGCAAGATGATCATATTCAAGCTATCAAAGAAGTCTTAAAAGATGACTATTGTGTTAAAGTTGATATGCTTCATAAATCTCTAGATGGTAATGAATTACTTGCTGTTCCTGAATCGTTGCAAATCAGTATAATCAAAGTCTTGCCTTCTTCGTGACCATTTTGCTTCTAAATGAATTGAAGAACTTGTCAAATATGAATTTTATCTACCTAAACTTGAACACAAAATTGATAACTACATTGCAAATTGTTTTTCTTGTATATTAATTAATCATAAATGTGGATTAGAAGAAGGTATTGTTGCATTTTAAAATCCCAAGCAAGATGTACTACTTCACACATATCACATTTTCCATTTAGGACCACCCGACCCAACAAAATCTACTGATAGCATCAAAGCAATATTTAAGCAGGAAAATAAAAAAAATTGTCTTTGGAAATCGTATGTGTATAATTTCCAATAAAGGACATTTACTTCTAAAAATTTTCAAGATTATTGTTCAACCAACAATATCCAGCATATTCAAATTACTTGTGTGAATGTACAAATTGAGAGATTGAATTCTGTCATAATTTCTGTTCTGTCCAAATTATCAATTCAAAATCTGACAAAATGGTATGCATGGATTGCTGAAGTTCAGACAGTGATTAATTCAACCTACCAACGAAGTGTGAATACAACTCCATTCAAACTCCTGTTTGGAATTAAAATGAAATCTACTAACCATGACAAAATTACAGAGTTGTTAAATGCAAAGATTCAGTTAGATTTCATCAGTGATCATGATGATCTTTGACAAGAAGCTAAAAACAGATTTTGAAAGTGCAGGATGAAAATTGTAAAATCTGCAATATAAACCATCCAGTATAATGTAATCACAATCAAGCATATACAAAATGAACTTGGTCTTAATCTAAAACCCGAGTTTCTCGGACTATACAGGATTATGAAAAATCAAGCCAGATGACACTTATAATGCTGAAAAATGTGGTTTCTTAATATGAAGTTATGAAAACAAGCACACCAGCTGAATTTATACTATTATTAATTTTTAATTTTATTTTTCTAGGCACTGTTATTAGAAGATCCTGATTTAATACTATTTTCATTTACCTGTATTACTATAGTATTTTCAATTTTAGTGTATTTTAAATGTTACATTTCACTATTTATTCTTGTCATCCAAGGGCAGATGATAACATACGATGGCTGAATTATGAGGAAAATGGCCATGCAACTGTAACTGTATTCCCAGGCAATATAGATAAGCATGCATGAACAATGATGAATAAAGACCTGTGATGTAACAATTATTATTTTTTCTTATGTAATTCAAATGTAGTTTAATAGCTAGATCAGCACTAGTAACGTTTATAAGTGAAGTTTTATATACACATAATTTATTATTAGAAAAGGTTTTTATATATCATCTTCAAGGAATAGAAATTTAATTAAAGTGATGAATTATATATAACTAATAATTATACAAAAAAGTTTTGTGATACAAAGTACTTTAGAAATCACTGCATGAATCATTTCTGAAGCTGCCATGAGATAACAGTCACGTAATGATGGGGGAAAAAAAAAATTATTCACCAGGTTGGCATCAAGATATAAGTTGCTCAATAGGAGTAAAATCAGCAATGAATGTTTTGGCTTATTATCTATGCCACACAAAATGTGACTATGGGGTCAAATTATCAATCATGTGAATTTAAGCTAAAAAAAAAAAAAAAAAAAAAAAAAGAAGAAGAAGAGCTGATGATATGGATGCTATATCATTCTGGACAATTGACAACCAGATTTTGAACTTCATACCGCATATAAATAAATAAAGTGCAATACCATTGGGTAAAGAAAAGACAAAGCAATTAAAAAAAGGAAAATCATTAAATAATTAAAACATTTTAAAGTACTTGAAATTTTAAATTGAGAACAATTTAGATTTTTAAGTACTTAAAATTTTTAAATGAATTTAGATTTCAAAATTTCATTTTGAAAATTGCTGAATTATATAAAAAATATGGTAATTAAGAAAAGGAATGGTGGAACATTATTTCTACTATAAATAAAACTCCTTATGTGCATAATTTAAACAGCAAAACATGATGGTCTCATGAAAGACGAATATTCAGCAAATTTTTAAACATCAATGAATAATAGAAACCTTAATTAGAGAATGAGCATACAATCCCTGATACTCCTGAAATATATCTGCTAAAATTGTAATTTTTTCATGTAAATTAGTTAAAATTTTCTATTTTTAATTTTGGATGAACAATTTAATTAAAACACAATTGTACATACCTATGCAGAGTGTAGCAGATCGGCTGATTCCTGCCACACAATACACAAGTGTCTTTCCACCAGCAACATGCTCATCATGTATAATATTAGCAACTTCATCAAAGTAGCAGGCTATGTTTTCCCGTTCATTATCTTCAATCTATAAAAGATATTTTCATACATTATGCCAATTATTTAACACTGAATTTTATATTTAGGAGAATCTATTTTTTCTTTTAATGAAACATACAATAATTGCTTTCACTCTTTTTCTCTTCAGATCACATTCAGAAATTTTGGGAATAAAAATTGAAAATAAGTGATAAAAAAGTGCAAATTCTCCCTTTAATTCTCCTTTTAACAAGTGCACATTAAGGACCAAAAGTAATTTTAAAATCATACCCTAAAGACAGAATACATTAAAGAGCTCCTAGCTTCTTCACTGCCAGCTATGATGACTGTATGTGTATACTAGATGTTAATCATTCATCACCTATGCCTCTATTATTATTTCCATATACACATTATGAAAACAGCACCTTATATAATCTTATGATACTGATTTTTCAAAGGAATTTAGTGTATATACATGTTTTGATATTAATGCAACAAAAATTACATACAAGAGGGGTAAGACACTAGGCTTACCAATTTTGCCCAAAATTAAGCCTAATAAAAAAAGTACCTTCAAGTACACATGAATATAAAGAGAGAGTGCAAACTCTTAACTATAAACAATGAAAACAAGAAATTAATCTCAAGTTTTAAGTAACATTTATTTCATTTATAAATAAGGACAATGAAGTTAGTCCATAACAAAGGAGGTGTCAGACTCAAATTTTATTGACATAATGACAGAGAAGAACAGTACATCAGAGAAATCCATGCATGCTATCATTCTCACTATGTACACAGTAATCTGTTTTTGCATAAAAAAATCACAGAATGACATAAATTTGGTATTGTCCATATTTTTTATATTCCCATGCACACAGTGATCTATAAAAAAAAAAAAAAAAAAAAAAAAAAAAAAAACCCACTATCATAGGACTGCACAAATTCGGCAGCACAGTGATCAGTTTCCACTTAACACCCCAGACTTGCACAAATTCCACATCAGAGCTCAAATTTGGATCCATAAAATTTTTTTCATTTATGAAGTACAACTATATGGAATGCAAATTTTTGCATTTTCTACTGTTAGGCAAAATAGCATATTTCTAAGGAATTGCATTTCTTATTTTATTTTAAGCTTTTTGCCACTTTCAGAAAATTTTCTAACTGAAAATAATTTAAAAATAAAAGAATTAACATCCAACATTAAAAATTTGATTAAAAATGAATAAAAGTATTATCCTGAAACTGAATAAAAGTGTTACCCTACAAAGAATAGCAAAACTTCTAAGTGGATCATAACTGTTGTGAACAATGGGATGACGCAGGAATGCAAGCAGATACTGCCTGAAGTAAAACTAGAGGAAAAAAATATTAGGGAGAATAATTAAATAAAAATTTTTGCATTGCGTTTTAGATTAACCTCGTATTATTAGTGTATTCCGATGACAATTACCTGTTCAAGAAGAAACATAACCAGAATAGTAATTACCAGAGGTATGGAATTATTTGTAATTTTACGAATTTGTTGCTCTGATGATAAGTCAGAACTGGATAGTTTGAAATCTATCAAATTTTTATGTACATAATATCAGAAATTAAATTAGTGATTAATAATGAAATGTGGCACTGCATGATTTCTATTTCAAATTCCATTTGTATTAAAAAATTTGAACTATATTTACTCAAAACAAGTGGCATTTCAGATGGCAAAAGATCGCAAGTCGCTCGCGAGCCGCAGTTTGCCCATGTCTGATCTAAATTTTATTACTGCTTAAATGTAAGCTTAGGCTATTATTATAACTAAAATTAGCTTTTGAACTTATAAATATGTAATAAGTAAACAAATCCAGAAGGTTTTGAGCAACCAATTACAAAATAAGGGGCAAAAAAATTTATAGCATATTGAACAGAAACCTATGAGAATGTATGATTTTAGAAGTATTTCTTGACTCTTTGTATGAAGGACAAAGAAATATCCATTCAAGAATATATGAAATAAGGACAACAATAAAGCAATGTGTAAGAGGTTAGAAAAATTTAGCACACAGACAATGCAAAAACATTTTTGAAAAATCTGAAAAACCAAATGTTACACAAAAATGATATATAAATATTTGATGATTTACCATAATTGGAATGTACTTCACTTTCTGAACACTGTAAGAGGGTGACAGCAAACTACAGTTTATTATACATGTTATGCCCTTCAAACTAAGGGAAGTGTTAGTAACAGACCTTGCACTTCCAATGTAGAGATGGTCATTCACTTCATTTAGCTCACACAACATTTCAAAAAAATCTCTTTTCCTTACCTAATAATAGAAATAAGAGAAAAGAAAGAAAGAAAAAAAAAAAAAAATTATATGTATTTTCTGAAGAGTATAATTTAAAGACATAACAAAACATAAAGACTGGGATATAACTCACATAGCAACACAAGTCTTATTAACTTCATACTACGACTCTGATGTCATAATAATAACATGGGTATATCGAAAAGCAGTCAGACTATTCCTGTTGACAAAAGAGTACATTACTTACCTAAATCTAAATATCATGTTAATAAAAATAGTCACATTGTGGAGCAAATCACATGTCCTAACATTTCTGCTACCACTGGAATGTAACCTTGAAGTGGTTTTACATAACTTTTAACTATTCCTGCTGGACCTTGGCATGAAAACAACAACTTTTTAGCAAGGAACATTATTCTACCTCTGAAGTGTGAGTGCAACTCAAAACATTGTGTACGGCTCATTGATGAAGCATGTTCAATGGTCGTAGCAATTTAGTGCAGTTTTATGCTAGCTTACAGTTTCACCTTTTGATCCATTACGTAAACGTAGATTATTACACATACATATGTAACTGCAAAAACACTATTACATTATGTAATTACAAAAACACTATTATAATTCCAAATGCTAAAGTAGTAATGTTTCTTGGGACAATGCCTTATTGATTGAATGTCACTATGGCTAAAAGCACAACCCACCACTGTTGTTCACTGCCATTCTACATAGCTAATGCAAGAAATTTTGATACTGTAGTATATAGTATAAAGTCTGAAATCAAGGTACCCAATATCCAAATTGATATAAAATTTGGGCCTCCAAATCACTAGCAACCTTTTTTCACTTTTTTTTTAGAAATGTTGTGTATGCTTTATGCTTGCACAGATATTTTTTCATAATAAAACATGTGGAGAGTATTGATTCTTAATTTCACTTCAGCCCTAAATAAATTATCTCCATATTGAAGAAACAATTATTTATTATAAGTGCATAAATCTATATTATCAATAATTTGGTTTTGTAGTCAACTTTTAGCTTTGCATACAACTCACACTGAAACATTCTACATCAAAGCATCACTGATTTTACTCTTACTGAATAATTTATATCTCTGACACCAACCTGGTAAATCCTTAATTATTACTTTCTGATTCATCACCACATGAACTAAAAATAAACAGTGACTTAAGAAATGTCTAAACAATTTAATTTTTTTAAGCATTAGTAACTGAACACAAATAGCATGGTAATTTTTTATGTTGACATTACGTTTAGTGATGATTACATTATTCAGCTAACTTAACTCCAAAGTATTGAGTGTGTTGATGAGTAGAAATTTAACAGACATTTCTTTCCATATGCAAAAAATATATTTTGTAAATAATAATCATAGGTCAAAAAGATTACATTTAATGTAGTTTGATTTGAAACTAACTGATTTGTTATGCAGATTAGACCAGGACCGGTGACAAAGGAGGAGGCAAAATTTTTAGAATGTAGAAAAGCACGAACGAAAATTTAAGGATGGCAGAATCTTTAAAATTTAAGGAAGGCAATGGAACACAAAATTTAGGGGCGGCAAAATGTTTAGAATATAGAGATTAGCTTGACAGCAGAATTTGGACATGCAGAGACAGCACTGAATTTCAAAATGTCTAGCAGTACCCCTGGATAAGTCTTAAGTGTATGTGGGAATTTACTTAGTCAGGACTCAGATAAGACATAAGCCACGTATAGAACATAAGTATAGCTAAAATAAATAACTAAACTAATACAATTCAGGTTTTGTCCGCATGTGATAGAAGCAAGATAAAATTTACCAGAACAACATATCTTTAGTTACTAATCTATTGATACATCGGCAATAGTGCATAACGGATGCTAGCTAAGCTTTATGATGATAGCTGTGGATTTGAACATTTTCAAATATCACAAGCAAAATGCAAAATTTACCAATTAATGGAATTCGTGAAGAAATGTGGAGAGGTGGCAATTAATGAAGATGATAACACAGAATGTGATGACATTCCCCTAATCACCAATCAACTATCAGATGGCAAAACCTGTAGTATGGTTTTAAATCCAGAAAATATCACTACTGATAAAGGAGAAAGTGACAGAGAAGAAATTCAGAATGAAAAAAATTTGATTGATATTTTAGTGTGAATTTTAAATGCAGCAATTGCATGACATGAACACAGGAATTTCGTAACTGAACAAGAAATTATGTCTATCTGTTGAATTAAAAGAACCCCCCCCAAAAAAAAACGAAATGAAGCAATTTAAACAATTTATATTGAAAGAAATGTTTAATAAAGCAAACAACTAAATAGAGGGTTTTTTTTTATTATTATTTTGATTCCGTTAAGGCCATAAATGCTCCATTATTTCATAAATCACTATTTCATGTTTTTTAATTTTCTAATTATGTCATCTTACAAGATTTAAAGTAATAATCTAATAATACTGTAGTCCCGATGAGTCCGGATCTCAGATTTTGTACTGTATTAGATATGAAATCATGACTTCAGACAGAAACATTTTATTGTACAAAATCTTATGCTATTTGTAATGGTACTGAAGATAAATATGTTGCAACTTAGCTCACTTATCTGATAGAACATCAGAAACAAGCCTGAATTTTATTGTGGCGAGAAGCCCAAGATTGCATCTGTTACTAGTGTGGACCTTGGGAGATAGGCACAAGAGTTTCTTTTTCCCAGCAAACTACCTGTCAGGACTTCAGGCTTGTCATATATTTTAAACCCACCTCCATGCTGAAAAAATACTACACACATAGCCAGCAATGTAACCACTACAGCAATCGGGGTGTGTGTGTGTGAGGGGAAGTTATACTTAATTATATTTTTATATATAGTTTTAAGAATCCTCACTTTAATAATAGACATTAAAGGCATGAATATTATGTAAGAAACTTGTGTAGTAAATATTACTGAAAACTTCCAACAGGTATCACGCAGAGGAGGAGGGGCGAATTCTAATTTTTTTTTATATCCTTCACTAAGAATAATGATAGTAATGTAAAAGATATAAAAACTTTCAAATCCTTCAGATAAAACTAATAATGAACTGGGAAAAATGAAAAACATTTACTTAACATTATAAACTTTTGCTTACAGACAGGTTTCAAATCTGCAGGCTTGAGATTCATTTTCCAAACATAATTTGAAAAACCACTTGAGCAACAGTTTAAATTTTTTACATTTTCTTTGAATCTTTTTACATTACGGCAAATGCAATGGGAGATAGATTATTTCAAAAGCTAACATCAAACAGAAATAGAAACATCAACACTAAATTTGCATCAGAAAATTAGATACATGAAAAAGTTACTTTTAAATAAGTAACTTTTTAATACAGGCACTAAATATTGAATACTTACAGGACACAATCAATAAAACTAAACTTCTGGAGTTACACTTATCAGGACTACTACAGTCAAAAGTCGTTAATCCGGACTCGTCGGGACTTCGGCGATTCCGGATTATAGATCATCAGTTTAAATCTCGTAAGATGGCATGCAGAAATTCTAAAATTAAAAATATGAAACGTATTTATGAAATAAAGAACAATTATGATCTAAAGGGTATCAAAATTTGCAAAAAGAAAAAGCTTAAATTTATTTGTTTACTTATTAAACATTTCTTTCAATGCAAGTTGTTTAAGTTTTGCTTCGTTTCATGTGATAATACTTCTCTTTAATTCTATAAACAGACATAATTTCTTGTTCAGTTACAAAGTTCCGCTGTTCAAGTCCTTAATTGCTGTGTCTAGAACACCGATTAATTTGTCAATCGAAATTTTTTCGTTTTCAATAACCTCTGTCACTTTCTTCGCTATCGAAAGCGAATTATAATGACGAGGAACTTGTTTTAAATCATATCAAAGACGGAGCATATCGAGATGAAATACTACATTTGGTAAGGAATTATAAGCCAAATAAAATAAAACATCTCGCTGAAGATAAGGATAGTGTTGACAGATCAACTTCCAATCATTACGCGCCCCTGCGCGTCAACTTCCAATTCATTACGCGCCCGCTGCGGCGATCCCCCCCGCGAGCAGCGTGAAATTGATAAACAGATTCGGATTTCAAAAACATACTTTCGCTTTAGATCCTTTACATATTAACAAATATATATCGGAAATTCTATTTCATATATCGAAAGTTTAAGCTTACTTTATAAAATTGCTCTTACAGTGCAAAAAATAATAAGCCGGATCCAATTCGAAATTAAGGAACCACGCATCATCAACATTAACTGAAATAGATAATTAGATAATTTTAGCTTATACGTCCATATACATAAAACGCGCACGCCGAAAACGTATTTGCACTTGCGCACACTCATATGCGCAGTCGTAAAGGTCTTACGCGCACGCGTAAACGCCTATGCGCATGTGTCAACGCGGCGCATGGCAGAAAGTTTTTAGTTTGAGGTCCGGATTATGATCATCCGATTATGGGTGTGTCCAATAACGACTTTTGACTGTATTTCTTCACATTGCCTTTGGCTACATAACTAGAGTCTTGAGCAAGAACAGGGAGTTTACTCAAAACTATGTTCTTTAAAGTATAGAAAATACAACACAAGTGGGAAGGGTTTAACTACCTTTTATTCTTCACAGTTTACAGCTGTTCCTGCACTTCAGGATACAAAGACCAGTACTGAAACGTAAAAATAAGAACTACAAACTAACTAAATTAAGTAAGAACTAAACTCAGATGCTTTATAAAGACTAGTAACACAAAGATTGGCCTTCAATCTTTACGTATGTAGTACGCAAATTGCAGGAAAACTACAATATGTTTTCCGTATCAAGAAGACTAAATTCTGGCCTTAAAGGTGGACAGCAACAGACTAAACAGCATGCCCGAGATAAGGTAGCAAGAAGTCTCTTTCTCTCTAACTCCTTCTTGGCTAAAAGCCACAACTTAAATACTTAACAGTTTGCAAGCTCAATTTGCATAACTAAAACTAACGGCGTTTATTCTGGCCAGAAGTGGAAAATAAGAGGGGGCAGTAAAGTTTTAAAATAAAATAAACGTTTTAAAACTTGAAATCTTCACACACTTTTTAAGTATTTTATATTAGAATTCAAGAGTATTTTAATGAGGAAATAAATGAAAAGCGTCATTTTTGAATCTCGCATCTTTCTTTAGCTTCATGGAATTTGAGAACTTGAATGTCTTATCCTCAGTGCTAAGGTAATTTTAAGAGCAACATGGGTAACAGAAAATTCGGTTTATGATCAGGAAACCAGAAACTAACTGTTCTTCTGTTTTAGTAATACAATTTTTTTTTAAAACAGTTACTCTAAAAAATTTTGACTGGTAATTACACAAATAGCAAACACATGTTGTGTCCATAAAGTAACCAAACAATTTCTTTTAAATAAATAAATAAAAAAAAAGATAACTAACCTACAAATAAAATTATCTCCTTTAAAATAATAGCCAGGAGAGCCTATACAATTTTTCAACCATTTCTTCAGATCATCAGAAAACACCATTTACAGTCGCTGGCAAAACAGACATAACATTTAATTTAATATCCAAGATATTTTCAAATCTCCGTCCTTTCATGGACATCTTAAGCTTTGAATAAAGGAAAAAAGAGCAAGCGATAAGTGGAGGAGAATATGGTGAAAGATTTATCATTGCAACTGAATTGCTTAGTAAGATATCATTTAACAGACAATACTGTGTGGAGCCTAGCATTATCATGTAAAAGAAACTCTTGCTCAGGATCAAAAAGTTCTTTCCTAACTCGTGTTACTCTGTTTCTTAATCAAAATAGCACTAAAAATAATGATTAACTGATTGATTTTCAGGGACAAATTCATGGACAACAAGTCCTTCATAATAAAAAATATCCAACCTTGATCTTTGAATTTTGACATCCATGCTTTTTTTTTTTTTTTTTTTGTATGGGAAAAGATAATCCTTTCCACTGTGCACTGTGTTTTGTTTCAGGGTCATATTGTAGACACCAAATCTCAGTTCCCACTGTAATACACTTTAGGAAATTGTTGTTTTGTCTTGCAGCAATCAGCAAAACTTCACAACAAACTTTTCTGTCAAAATCCGAAGCACAAATGTTCCTCATTTTCAGATTTTCAATTAAAATTAAACTACAGCTTTCTTTGCCTATCCCAGGTATGTCTTAAATATGCTGAATTGTTACACATCTGTCAGCTTTTACCAAAGAACGAACTTTCTCCACATTTTCCTCATTCTTTGAAGTTGAAGGCCACTCTGCATTTGGTTAATCTTTAATGCTTTCAGTCCAGTTTTAATGCAGTTGTAGTATTCATATACTTCTTTCTTGAAACGATGCATCTCTGTATAATCTTCATCTCTAATATTTCAGTAGCAGATTTACTTTATTTGAAACAAAATTCAGTTATAATGTTGTTTCATCTCAAAGCATACTTTTCTGTACAATGGCTTCTCAGAATGAAAATG